GTCCGACTGTGTCAATTGGGAAAGTAGGTGTGTCTAATGCAATTTGAATTAACTTTTGTTCATTTGAATTATCACTTCAACAGTATTCTCAGTTACCATGTGAAACTACTCAGTTTAGAAATTCTAAAATTTGTTTCAAAGTTTCGTGCCGTAGTTTTTTTATCTTTTTGCTAAAAGTTCTGTTATCTATAATCTTGATCTTGATGTCCCGTAGGCTTATCGCCCGTTGGGACCAACCACTGTAGATATTAGTTTCTTCCATTTCTGTCGGTCTTGTGCCCGGTGGAACAGGTCTTGTCCACTGTGTCCACACCACTCCTTGATGTCGTCCAGCCATTCTCTACATGGACGTCCTCTTCTCGGTTTCACTTCTATTCTTCCGAATACTGTGTGTTTTATTAGTCTATTATCGCTCATTCTACAGATATGGCCGAAGAGTCTTAGCTTTCTTTTCCTGATTGTGTCAACTATAGTCTCTTCTTTTGATATCTTTTTCCTTATATCTTCATTTCTGATCATACAGGGTGTTTCATAAGTTTTGAGGCTTGATAAAAATTAATACATATGCAAACAAAAAGTGATCTCGGAGCAAAGGTATTTATATAAAGTTTGAGTACTCGTGACGGTCTTGCAAATGATGTATGATTAGATGAGATTTCATTTTGTAATAATAAAAATATACACATAAGAATGTTGAGATAAATTTTTTCAAATCGACCAACAAGATATTTTATTAAAAAAGAAAAACACTCTTCTTATTAAAAAAAAAGACACACTAATTTAATAGATAAAATCCAGTTTAACTATCATGTATCTGTTTCTCGCTAGCTTTTATCACTTCACCAAGTCAGATAGAAATTTTATCAATCATTTTTCTACAATCATCAGAAGTTATTTTTTCCATGTTTTGTTCAGTCTAGGTTTTAACTGCTCAAAATTCGAAAACTGTACTCATCGTACTTTTTTCTTTAAAATTCCCCACACGTTCTCAATGGGCCAGACATCGGCAAACATTGCTGATAAAAAATAATTCGTTTTGAACCTACTACGCTGTTTTGTGTTACGCACATCATATGTTCATATATTTTATCCAGTTCATCTCAGTCACTGGGCATATAGCGTGGTTGAACATGTGATCAGTTATTCATGACTGGCGGTGAATAAACGACTAAGATAAGTAGTTACTGGTTCTGCCACACTTTTATTTATGTAAGATAAGTATAGTACTTTATTTGAGAATCTTTAACAAAAATCGTGTTGGTCGATTTGGAAAAATTTATCTCAACATTCTCATGTGTATATCTTTATTATCACAAACTGAGATCTTATCTAATCATACATCATTTGAAAGGCCGTCATCAGTACTCAAACTTTATATAAATACCTTTGCTCCGAGATCACTTTTTATTTGCAAATGTATTGATTTTTGTCAAGCCTCAAAATTTATGAAACACCCTGTATCTCTCCAGCTGATGCCTAGGATTCTTCGGTAGCATTTCATTTCGAATGCCAGTAGTTTCCTTTCATCGGTTTTCTTAAGGGTCCAGGTTTCTGAGGCGTATAGTAGTACACTGAAGACACACGTTGTTAGGATCCTGAGCTTGTTTTCTATAGTGAGTTTCTTTCCTTTCCATATGTGCTTCAGAGATGCCATTGCACCAGTTGCTTTACCGATCCTTCTCTTGATTTCTTCTGTGCAATTGTTGTCCCATGTTATAAGGCTTCCCAGATACTCGAACTTATCAACATTTTCTATTAGTGAACCTTGTATTTTTACTGGTTGCTCTATGCTTCTTTCACCGAACACCATTGTTTTCGTTTTTGTTGTGTTCACCACTAGTCCTGCTCGTTCTGCAGCTATTCTTATTATATCGAATTGATTCTGTAGGGAGCTGCATTCTTCATCTATTAGGTCTATGTCATCTGCAAACCTCAGGTTGTTCACGAGCGTTCCACTGATGTTGACTCCACATTTACTTTCTTTCACGTGGTCCATTACTCGCTCGAGATATGCGATGAACAGTAGTGGTGAGAGTGGGTCTCCTTGTCGGGTCCCTACGTCTGTACGGAACCAGGTCCCCTGATTCTTCCCTAATCGTACTGCCGATTGGGCTTTTTCGTATATCTTTCGTAGTAGGGTCACCATTTTTTCATCTATGCCGTATGATCTTAATACTACCCATATGACTTCATGCTTTACTGTGTCGAATGCTTTCTGAAAGTCTATGTACCAGTTGTAGATTTTCTTTCCGTGGCGTTTCGCCTTTTCTGCCATTAATCTGAGTATCAGGATTTGATGTATCGTGCTTCTGTCTTTTCTAAATCCTGCTTGTTCTTCCGAGAGGTGCGGCTCTAGTTGTAGCTTAAGCCTGTTAAGTAGCACAATGAGTAGTACTTTTCCTGTGTGGTTTATGAGGGAGATCGTTCTATAGTTACCACATTCACTTAGATCTCCTTTCTTTGGTATGGGTATTAGGATGGATTTACCCCATTCTTCTGGGATGTTACCTTCTTGCCATGCTTTATTGCAGAGGCTGTGGATTTGTCGTGCTAACTGCGCTCCTCCGGCTTGTAGCATTTCTGCTATGATGTCGTCTGGTCCCGGACTCTTGTTCTTTTTCAGTGAACGTATCGCGTCTTCTACTTCGGAGTATAGAATCTCTTGGGATTCTTCGATGTTGGTAGGTGTGATGCGTTTCAGATCCTGTGTCATGTTCGCACCACCTTCGTGATCTCTGTACAAGTTGTCGCAGTACGTTGCCCATCTTTTCATGATTTTTTCTTGCGACTGTAGTATTTTTCCGTCTTCGTCTCTTATTACATTGATTCGAGGGGTGAATTTTCTTCGTAGCATTTTTATCAGACTATATGCTTGCCTGGTATTTCCGATTGCTAGACCCTTTTCGATTCCTTCGCACTGCTGTTGTATCCAGTATTCTTTATCTTGTCTTGCTGCCTTTTTTACTTTCTTACAGAGGTCTTTGTATTGCTGTTCTTTCTGAGTCGAGGCATTCTGAGTCATTTTCAATTGACGTTTTTCATCCGCTAGTTTCAGTGTTTCCTCGGATATCCAAGGTTTCTTCGCTGCTTTCTTTGCAGGTATCGATGCTTCTGCTGCCTCTTTAATTGCCTTCTCTATTTTACTCGTGTTTTCGTCTAGGTTGTGTGTTGTTTTGCTTTCTTTTATCTTTTCTACTAGTTTGTCACTATAGTTTTTTCTTACTATTTCATTTTTGAGTTGGCTCGCATCGATTCTCGTACTTTGGTGTGGCTTGTTGTACATCTTTTTGAGCCTCAACCTTATATTACACAGCACCAGTGAGTGGTCCGAGCAGATATCAGCACTTTGAAATGTTCTACAGTTGATGACCGAGGATTTCCATCTTTGTCGGATGAGGATTAGGTCGATCATATTCTTGTGCATGCCATCTGCCGACGCCCATGTCCATTTTCGCCGTGCTTTGTGCTCAAATCTTGTATTGCATATGTACAAGTCATGTGTGGTTGCGAACTCTAATAGACGCTCTCCTCTTTCGTTCCTATCACCGTAACCGTACCTTCCCATTACTCGTTTCCAGTCTGTATTATCGCTATCCACTTTTGCATTCCAGTCGCCTGTTACGATGAGTATATCTTTTTTGTGTATTTTACCTAGTGCGTCTTCAAGAGTATTGTAGAACGCTTCTATTTCCTCATCTGAACAAGCGGATGTTGGTGCATATGCATGTACCACAGTCATTTTGAACGGTGCTGCGTTGAAACTAGCGGTGATAATCCGAGAGCTTATCGGATTCTATTCTATGAGTGCCTTTTTGGCTACCATGCTTACCAGCAGTCCTACCCCTCGTGTATGTGTATTATCTTCTCCTTACTGGACGAAGTCTCCATTTGATATTTCACCTTTGTCTGTCCATCGAACTTCTGCAATTCCTACGATGTCGTACCTGAACCTCTTCATCTCGTTTCTTAGCAACTCTAGCTTACCGGTTTCCCATAATGTCCGAACGTTCCATCTTCCAACTGTCAGCGTATTTTTTACTAGTTTTATTTGCCCTGCACATTTCCTCTTCACAATCCTTGTCCTTTACTTTCCAGTAGCCGAATTTTTCGACTCTTCCCTCATTGAAATATGCACCATTGGATAGAGCTTGTCAGTCTGCAAAAGACACACTGACTTTCCCAATTGACACACTATCTGAGATGAATACCACTAGGGATTACTCTTGGGGTTATAGCATTGGTGGGTATATCGCCTTTTCAATATCCTTAACCAATTCACAATGTATTGAGTTATACACCATTGCATAGAGCTTGTCAAGTTGCATTAGATACACTGACTTTCCCAATTGACACAGTGTCTGACATGAATATCCCTAAGGACTACTTTCGGGGTTATAGCATTGGAGGGGTATATTGCCTGTTGAGTACTCTAAACCAACTCAAAATGTATTGAATTATGCACCATTAGATAGAGCGTGTCAAATTGCATTAGACACACCTACTTTCCCATTTGATACAGTCGGACAGGTGAATATCCCTAAGGATTACTTTCGGGATTATAGCATTGGAGGGGTATATTGCCTGTTGAGTACTCTTAACCAAC